TTCAATAAAAATTTAAAGAACAGTGAATAGCGACATCTCTCGCCAGTGCTGGTAACTGTAAAGATATCTAACTGGGTGATAAAACTTTCATAGATTTCTCATGGATGGCGCTATGGTTATTTTAATTTTTATACTGAGCACGTAAAGGGTATTTAATATAAATTCAAATAGAGATGACCAGGATTTTACACTAACATCTATTATAATATCGCGGTCTAGAACTTAGCCACAATAACATTATCACTGGAGACAGATTTCTTACAACTGTATGAGTGAAAGAAGTTTTTAAATTTAGAAATTCCACATTGTAGAGATGTGTAAATTCCAAATTATTTGTCAAGAGTTTGCTTATTTTATCAAAGCTGTAAGTAGGTGGTGGTGTAATCCTTCTTACTTTATTATGCATATAAACAGCGTTAATCTGCTAAAATATCAAATTGTTGAAGAACCAGCTTGTTTGTGATTTTAGTTTATAGAATTTTGAAGAGAATATCGTCGAAGAGCTTCTTTATAAACACTACGGGTAAAGGTGAAAACACTTTAACATAATAGTATTTAGAATCAGGTTTTTTACCCTACCACACCTGATCAGATTAGGAACTTAAAAGTGCCAATAATAAACGGGCACGTATGAAACGCTTCTTGCCCGTGGACCACTCGGGTGAACCAACCTCACCTGAGTGGACCACGGGCAATTATTTCTTCCTGTGGATCATGTAGGTCACCTGGGGATTTTTCTTTTCTTGTGAATCACCTAATTATTAAAATCTTTTTAACATTTCAATTGCAAAGATATAAGACTATTTTGTTGTCTATCAATTGAGAATTTTAATGAATTGAATTTGTTGGCAGTAGTTGGTCGAAGGACTAAAATACGAATAAATTGAATTTTAAAAGTATAAAATGAGTAGTGAAGAACTTAATTTCATCCTGAGAGTAGGTGGTAATAATATTTAAGGACAAGTTTAGAAAATATTAACATTGATGTCTTACAATGCTAGAGGCAATTTTATTTTTGTTATACATAGGGCGCACTATAAGTTTCATAAACAATATTTAAAAAGTTATTACAACATTTGAAAATGGAACTCTTTGGCTGTAGAATACACTTTGTTTCATCTGACTGTCACTTGTTTTTAAGTTGTGGCGTCATTTTAGAAATTGGTTGTCTACATCACCATGATTTTTTACGATAATGCCAGTTCTCACACAACCAGACAGACAAATGATTTTTTTAAGGTGAACAAGGTTAACCTTATGACCCATCACGTGTACAGTCCCGACCTGGCACCTTGTGACTTTTATTTATTTCCAAAAATTAAGCACCAGTTACGCGGTCAACAATTTTCGTCACCTGAAGAGGCTGTCGAAGACTATGAAAAATTTGTTTCAGAGATTGTCACGGAGGAGTGGCATAAATGTTTTTAAAAGTGGTTCATTCGTATGAAAACGTGCATTAACGCTAAAGGAGATTATTTTGAGAAACAATAAATTCATTTCTGACCATTTATACTATTTTTTTCTTATTCATTCCGAAAACTTATGGAGCGCCCCACGTATCTTTATTTTCATTTTCGAGTTTATCTAACAATATACAAGTTTTATAAGTATTGTAAAATTTGTGGATTTAGTTGAATAATAATATTAATAAGTATCACACAATAAACATATAAAAGACTTTCTGTGCATCAAACCGTAAGTTATGCATATATTTTTTAAAACGATATATATATATTATAATGGCCAGCATCAACCACTACCACCACCACCAGTTAAGTTTTGTGTATTTCTGTTTTATACGTAAGAGGTGAACCACGCGAAGAAATAATTGCCCGTGGTCCCTCCAGGTGAGCCAACCAGATGGTTCACGGGCAAGAAGCGGTATGAAGAGGCTGATGCGAGTGGTAAACAAGGTTTATATAATTTCTTTATGACACGCCTCCGTGCACGTGTCCGTCATAAGTTGACACGACAGACGGGCCTATAATGTCACCAGTATTACCCTTAATGCTCAGGCCACACAGAGACAGCCGCGGAAGCGTTCCGGCAGCGGGAATTTTGTAATGTACGAGTTCATATGAGCGGCCGTCCTTGTTGGCCAGAACATAAGTTACCCTTCAAAACCGGAACGCAGTAAACTCACGGAAGAACTCTTTTATAAGGGGTTCCATTGCTACTATATAAATAATATAATAAAAATGTATATCTACTTTAACTTATTAGTTATTACGCTTAGTTTACGGTTTGGGTTGACAATTCCTTTTAAGTATTAACTTGTGCTAGGAAAGGTGTTGAGTCGTTGTAGTATGATAACGCATTGCCCTGGGTTACTAAAAAAAGGATATTAGAAAAATCTTCAGAAAAAGATTCAGCGTTACTGGCAAATGTTCGCGGTGAGGGAGCGCTCTTAAGGGTGCATTTATACGACACGAATTTCATTGCGGTCACCCCGCGCGGTCGAAGAGCGGAGTCTGCGGCGGCCGCCACCCAGAGACCGAACTGTCATGTCAAAATACGCTCTATTTATTTAGCTTTCAGCTGGAGTGTGCCTGGATGCTTTGTACTTCAGATTTTTTTTATGTTACCAAGTGACAGGACGAACAAGTGGTGCACCTGGTTATAAATGACGCACGCCTGTCCATAGCATCAAGCCGCTCTGAGGGGCACTTCCACTAGGCCCGTCACCCTGAGACATAAGTTGACAAGTCCCATATGCCTGTTCATTTCACCAGCGCTCTCACCCTTCAAAACCGGAATACGGTAATGCTCACAATACTGCTTGGTGGAACTCCCGGGACGAACTTTTTCACAAGGACCTCTACTGTCACTAAAAATGAATGATTTAGATTCTATTCAAAAGCTTATTGACCTTTCCTTTTGTACATCAATCAATTGTACTTTGCTCTTTCAGTCACTCCAATGATCAACTTAACTCTGACCCTCGAGATGGTAAACTGTGGTCTCCTTTATGACAACGCGAATTCACACTATTCCAACCTCACGAGAACCCCAAGAAAAACGAAAAAACATCGCTAGATATTTACTGTTTCATTTACGTCCCAGACATAATAACGATTAGAAAGGATGGGGGATTTTATGTTTTTCTCTCAGTTGTACAGATTGCGGCTGAACTCCAAAAGACTCATTGAAGATGGAACTGGTAGCTTCGTAATTACAAGGCAATTGTTCGTTATTCATTCGCAGCTTAATATTGTCGCTTTCAGTCTACAACTTGTAAAATTTCCGTTCACGTTTGCTATTGCAAGTTAGAGCCAGATAAATTACTTTGCTTCATAGCCAAGGAGGTCAGTCTGTCCGCTTTGCTAGTTTGACCTGAAAACTTGTGATGAAAATGAAACAAATTCAATTGAACTTCTCCTTTTGTTCAGGTATTTCGTTGCATCGAGTTTCTTGTTTTATATTTGGCGGTGGTACCGTATTGCACATTTTTGTGGACGGTCAAGAGAAATACCTTCTCAACTGTTTTGCCGCCGTAAGCCCTTTCATGGCGGCAGAACAAATTGGGATTTTAAAAAATTGTTCTGTATACTGCCGTGATCAGTAAAAAAATTTATTTTTTCCTAGGTGGATAAGGTTGTATGAAGTTACCGCTAAAGAAAAGTGGATATTTTTTTATTTCATTTCTTTAAACATTATTTTCTTGGTTATTAACCGACTTTAAAAAAAGGAGGAGGTTCTCAATTCGATTGTATGTTCTTTATTTTCTTTTTTTTTGTATGTTTGTTACGCGATAACTTCGGTATTTGAGAACCGATTTTCATGATTCTTTTTTTGTTGGAAAGGGGGTACTTCCATAGTGGTCCCATTTTATTTTGAAGATGATCATCCACCTCGAAGGGTGGCTGTTCATGCATGAAGATTCATTTTTATAAATAGCGCCTAACCTTAATTTAGGAGCAATTACTTTAATGGTTGATTTTGCTATTTCTCTAATTCAAGGCGTTTTTCTCTCAATATACTTTGAGTAGTGAGAACCGATTTTTATTAACTCCTGTGTCAAGTCTTGTATAGTGGCGAAGGGGGATATTTCAATAAAACTTAGCAAATAGACGTAATACCACGTACTTTTGAGGTCGGTTTTTTTAGTACTCTGTACTGAGATTATGAGTTTTGTTTTTCAACTAACGGTGGCAGTGTTTGAACTCGAACGTAATAATAAGCTTTGTTAACATTTCAGGACGATAGTTCCGTTTTTGTTTGTGAGGACGTTCCACGTTACATGGGGTATTTGAACCACGAATTGTCTTTGCATTTTGGTATGGAAAGTTTGACGCATGTAATAAACGTCACCAGACTGGACCAAACACGTCAGTAATAAGAGTAATACGAGTAGGTGCAGGGAAGCTTTTGACTTTTTGTGGTACCAAGGTGTAGTAGTAACAGTTTTTTATTAAACTTAATTTTAAGGATCTACAAATCAACCATTGCTGATTGTAGTGCTACTTATAGTTAACGACTGTGAGTTTAGTGCAGAAGCCAAAAAACTGCTCCGAGTAGTTAGAATCCGCCATGACTAGTGATGCGACGGAAGTTTATTATGGAATCAGAAACGGAAACCGGTATAAAAAGTGAATCTCAGCAGAAATGGAAACGTAAGTGGATGCGGAAGCGGAAGTGTATATAAAAGATCTCAATGTAATAGCACAGATTTTAATAGTTACTATTTCTAATGAGGACTTGTTTTTGGTTTCATAATTTCACCTCACACAAAACATGCAAAATACGCACGCCCCATCGCCAAGCAACACGCGCGCGCAAACGTTGTAATCTTCCGATCAAAGTTCTGGTGATAAGTGACACGTGTGTCCGTCACTTTGAGACCTAAGTAAGAGACAAGGCCCATACGCGTGCGCGTGTAATTTGATTAGCAGTACTGCCCTGGACGAACTTTTTGACAAGGACCTATATATTGCTGCTAAAGTGCCGGCGGAACCAGAGGTATTAAAATTGAAAGCTAGCCATCCCAAAAAGAATGAAGGTTATAGGTACTTACAGTCAGCGAGGGTGAGCTTAGCGCGGAAGCCAGCAAAATGCCTCGAGTGGTCCGATTTGAAACGCAGTCGTAACCAACCGCCTCGCGACTGGTACCGGAGTAACTTGAGTTTGCCGCCCCAGTCTCCGCACAGTCGCCTTGACGCAGTCGATTGGCTATTGCTCACCCAGCCTGCGCTGATCGCATCCGATTCCGGGAGCAGGTTCTCGTAGTCGTATACCTGTTAAAATTATATATGCTGAGTAAATTCTATAACTCAATAAAAAAAATCTTCATTGGGGCCCCAGCAGGTCGACCTACTGCACGAAGACCGGTTGGCCGTCTCAGGTTGTCTCTCATCCCAGGTAATTGACAAAAATCAATTGGCGAGAGATTGCACAGGACCGAAGAAAGTGGCATCATCTCGTTTCGGAGACCAGGACACGTTTTGGAGCGCTGAGCCAGCGGAGTGAGTATTTATTGGAAGAGGGAACCTCAGTATTGGCCCCGTTTAAATTTGAAGAAAATATTCCACCTCTAAGGGTGTCAAATTAGGGGATGAATCCGGTTTCGCGCACTTTCCGGTAACCGATTTCAATAATACTTGGCAAATAGATGTAATTCCGCGAGCTTTTGAGGTCGGATTTTTAGTACTCTGTACTGAGATTATCAGATGTATTATTGGGTTACCTATCAGTATTCCGAAATGACATTTTCCAGAAATAACGTCTATTCGAATTTTGATAACCTCGAATGCAATTTTGAGACGAAAATGTTTTTTCTTTTAAACCTAACTTAACCTTTTACTTTGCGATAACCATCCAACATATCCTGAAAGAACAACGGTTTCATTATAATTCGGTTTTCGCTATAATGACAATCGAATAAACTTTATTTCGGAAAAAAAATTCGGTTTATGATAGGTTACCGTATTATTGTGATATTTTTTCTGAAATAACTCCTGTAGTTATTATTATGATTATTTATATAAAGATCGAAGACAGAAAAATTTTACGACCCGTTGGGACTTTAACCCACGATCATACTGCACCGTTCAGCATTGCTCTAACAAACTGAGCTACGGGTCAAGTTATCGAGTTGTCGAAATTCTCGTATGTGTGTTTGTTAAAAATCTTTCTACTGGGTGTCGGCATTCTGCGCCGCTATTAGAGTCTAGTGAGAGATTTAAAAACCTTCTACACCGCAGCCGGCTAAAGGTATCGGCTGCGCACGCATACAATCCTCACTGCTACATTTTCAAGCAGCTACCAAACTTGTTTTACTGTACTGTGGCAGAATTGCATTTTTTTAACCGACTTCAAAAAAGGAGGAGGTTCTCAATTCGACTGTATGTTCTTTTTTTTTTTGTGTATGTTACGCGATAACTCCGGTATTTGTGAACCGATTTTCATGATTCTATTTTTGTTGGAAAGGGGGTACTTCAATAGTGGTCCCATTTTATTTTAAAGAAAATCATTCACCTCGAAGGGTGGCTATTCACGCATGAAGATTCACTTTTATAAATAGCGCCTAACTTTAATTTAGGAGCAATTACTTTAATTGTTGATTTTGCTATTTCTTCCATTCAAGGCGTTTTTCTCTCAATATACTTTGAGTAGTGTCGTAGTGAGAACCTATTTTTATTATCTCCAGTGTCAAGTCCTGTATAGTAGCGAACTAGGGGATATTTCAATAAAACTTAGCAAATAGCCGTAATTCCACGTACTTTTGAGGTCGGTTTTTTTAGTACTCTGTACTGAGATTATATTTACTCCGTCCAACCATTTATTTAATTTTTGACAGCTCTAATTCTAATCAATTAGTGATGTCCTAATGCGTTTACGATTCGATTTTTTTATAACAATCGATTTTATTTATTAAGAAGTTTTAATCGTGAATGTGAGCGGGTTTAAAAAAGAAGATATTGCCTGATTGGGATCGCGATGATGCGTTTGAGAATTTGTGTACTCAAGAATGAATAATTAATGTTAAGGAGGATTCAAGTTCAGTTCAGTGTTCAAGGATAATTATTTATAATTTAATTTCATTATAATTTATCAGACAGGTACCAAACTTTTTCGACTCTGTAATAATCTTCGTTACATAATCTGTAGGCTCGATAAATATCGGAGCTAAAGAGCACGTCGCTTCACTAAAATTTAAAAATAAAAGAGTCCAGGAAGTATTGGTTATATGCATTGACTTACAAATAAATGGACGACGGGTTTAATACAAAAACCACGAAAAAAATGTCCCAAGTCAACCTATTCGAAATTTAAATTGTAATGTCATCGCAGTATCGCGCTGTCAGTAGAACAAATGAAGACTAAAGCGGAGTTTGGCGCTCTGTATACGATTTTAGCGCCTTACAAGTGCGGACACTTTTTAGCGCGGACCCGACGTCCATATAATTGTAAGTCAATGGTTACATGTCAATAATAACAGAACTTCGGAGGCGTGCATACCTTTGTCAAAAGTTAAATAAAAGGTTAGACGGAGTGGAGTATAGCTTCAAATTTCATACATATCGGTTGAAGAATAACGAGTAAGAATGTTTTGCTCGGTACGCTGGCTGAGTTTCTATTAAATATTAAAACAACATCCCCATCTTGACACCCGTTGTGTCTTTGCTACTGCAAATTATCGGTTACCTCATTTTCGTTGTAGTTTTCATGATGATCTTGTAACAGCCAGTCCTCTTGTCCACCCTCAGTCACATTTTCCAAGCCCAGCTCAATGATTTCCAGAAAATCGTACGCGCAACTGCGAAGAAACGACCAGACGAGATATTAAATCTTTAATAAATTATGAAGTGAAAGTTTTGATAAACTTCAGCATGAATTAGAGTTGTGAAACTCTTAAACATGTTGCAATACGGTCGCTTATCGCGTGTCCTATATGTAATGTATTATATTAGTTTATTTAATAACGTATGACATCGAAGTTGTACAACATTGTGTAAAAGCATGTACTGCAAATTAAATTATGCAAAGCTGTTCTAAAACACGGTCTTGGACGAAAATATTAAAATCGCGAACAAAGCGGCTTGGGCCAGATCGCTTTAACAAAAGCCTGTAATGTTTTTAATGATCGTAACATTGTTTGGGAGTAAGCCGGCAGATTGTTTGCGTTTTGATACTTATTTCTTTTCAACTTTTTTATTTGATTCGTCAACATTTTAGTCTCTCTTAAACATAATATTCTGTGTAGATCAACAAGTATAATTATATTGAGTGAATTTGGTCTCGCCATAGTTTGAGATATAATAGTAGGTGCCTATATCGCCGTACTTCTACTTTGGAGGCTAGCCGCGAAGAAAGCGCTGTTACAAATGTTTAAGGCGAGTCACAGGTGTAAAAGCGGCATAAACTGTTTCGTTAGATTTAATGGTTTAGGTATTAAATAACGGTATTATAAAAAATATACGACAAACCTAAGGATATTGTCTAGAGAATGTGCTAATTTGTTACACAATATGAGGTACTTTACCCGAACATATAAAATCCTGAAAATAGGTTGAAATAAAACTCCAAATCGAATTATTTAAGAATAACATATCTAACTTTGCACATAATTTGTATATGAAAATATTACTCTTTAAGTACTATAGAGAACCTGCTAAATTTTAGTTTTCAACTGAAGCCCTGTAGTTATTAAATTCACATTTATCCCAAAATTTACAAATTGCCCAATGATTCAACGACGAGCTTGTCGATGACTGATCTGTGTCAAATCTTCTCCACCTATTCTTATTTTTGGTACTGTTTATTCCATTGGAAAAGGCAAAGGCACTAATGCGCTATACAATCAAGACTGAGAGTAATTACTTTCTTGGATTCCATTACAAAAATTAAATGTCTTCAATAGTGCTTCTTACTAAATGATATAAAATTGGATAACATTCTTAATTTTTCACAAGATCTAGTAAAGAAAGCGGGACGTTTTCACGGGTTTTGTACAGTTCAAGAAGGTTATCGATGAGGATTATTCTAACGATTGAAAAATGTATGATGCAAGGATTGGTTGGAGTAGTTACAGTGAATACACGACGGGGAGGAGATCATGTGCATTCTATGCAGGTGTTCATTGAAACATCCATGACCAAGACGTAATCTGCAAATAGTTCTATAGAACTTTCTATGAATATATCTCCTTTTCACAAACCACGGCTGTTTAATTTCAGAGTTTATACTATGATACCAAGACTAAGTGCGTTTTGTTAACAGAGTCTCCTGCCAGTGTTGTATCCATTTTTATTTTACTTATATTGATTTTATGCGCGCGGGTTGTAGGACGCGAGTGGCGGTCCCCCACACCTCACCTCACAAAACGTGGGCTCGCTATGGAATATCTCGTCTTAAACCTACAAGTCCAAATTCTAGGAACTGTTCAAGTTTTTTTATATTCATAGATAGAGCTAGGCGTTTAAACGAAAAACACTTTAAAAAGTTTGCATTTTCATTATAAAGCACACAATCACGCTTACAATTTTAAAAGCGTATTCAATACTCAACAATTACATTTTTTACAACATGCCTAAATATCAAGTCCCGCCATCTATGTTACCTAAACAAATGAATTCACCAATGTTAAGGTTGTAATAAAAAAAAACTCGCAAATAAAAACCTTAAGTGGCTTAAACTCTCGATTTTAGCTATCAACACAATGTTGCAAGCTTTTTTGCTAAACGATTTTGTAAGCTTCAAACTAATAAGCGTATAAGTGAAAAGTCCATTTATAAGCACGCTTATAAACATACAACGTTTTAACGTTTACAATTTTTAAGCAGTGTTTTCCATCTTTATCCATGGTGCTGTTTAGATTGTCGGGTAATCATAATAAAGTCATATAGCAATCATGATAATAGAATGTGTGTCATAGCCTGTGTCCATTGTTTGTAGGTTCTAAATTCCAAGTGGGTCATACCGCAGTAGTTTTGAAATCAGCTTATTGGATGTTTGTTAACATATCCATGTATAAAATGATATATAGTTGGTACTCACTTAGGCTCATATTCCGTAAGCAGTTCCTCAAAGTACAACCTTAGAGTAAGTTGGGGCGGAGCACGCACATCGCTCACACAATTTGCGTCGTCGGGGTAGGCCCGCGGGAACCCGGGGCTGGACACTGTCGCATGTGGCTGTGAGGGAGACAGAATGATGGTCTCGTTGCATTGCACTTGCGAAGCTATGTACGGATCTGGAACAAAAGGATGATGTATTAAAATCAGAACATAACAAACTGTATCGTTAAAAAACCCGGCCATCGATTTCTATACAGATTTAGAGGCATTCGTGGTTCCTCACTAACTAATAAACAAATAACCAAAGACTTCAATTTATAGACAAGAACATTCATAGAAACTATATGTTCCAAACAAAACACTATCAACAGTTGTAGTGTTTTGAAGTCTTGAATTTTATCAAAGAATATCAGTGCTGTGGACAGACACGACAGTCTATACCTGTTGGGAAGCTAGACAGGTAGGTAATATTGAGATAGTATTATCGTTGTGGCGTTTGTACAGGATTAGCTCAATAAAACAACGTTTGTTGCTTTACGTACACGTGCGATACACGCCCGCTCACGCCACTGTCTCGTGTCGTGATGGCGGGCACGGCACGCAGTGTGACATAAATTGTCCATTGTCTATGGTACATTACGTCAATACACTACAATCGTCACTATATAATAATAAAGAACAAAGCCAAAATAAATTAATCGCGTATTTGTGAATGGTTATTCCCATTTGTACTGATATTTTTTTAAGTGTTTTAGCACTACCGAATCACAGAAAATGGCAAAATACAATTGTTTCAAAGATTATTAACGAAACAAAGTGTATGGAATGCACCGCATCCAGTAGGCTAGTACATAGATACCCGGTTTTTACCATTAAAAACTTACGTCGCTATTACAGGTTTCTTATCATCATAAAATGCTTTGTCTTCTGTTTCGCGTGTGGATACCGTGAGTGTGGTTTGTCGGAAAAGAGTGAGGGACAATGGTAACACCACACGCAATCGAGATGTAGTCAGTCGTCAACTGCGATCGGTTTTAATGCTGTCATCTGTCGCTGATCAGTCAACCCGTGATCATGGATCGTGTACCCGTTCCGAAATATCGGTAAAATAAAAGAGACCTTATACGGTGGTAGTATATGAGTGTCGGTAATAGACATACCGGCGGCGGCGCGCCCACGAAGACATGTCGAATGTCGAACGTGCCCATGAAACGAATTTGTAAGGAAAAATAGGAAAAAACAAAATAATGTTTCTATAGTAATCAAATTGTTATCAGTTTGATCAGGCACTCCGGTCGTACGCATGCGCACGCTTCCGTATTGTGTATGAGTAGGGAAAATGGTGACGCCAGCAATCGACAAACTAATATTTTAAACCATACATCTTTGAATATAAAGTCACTAAGTTTTTTCATAGAAATGTCAATTTCTAGCGTGCCGACGCTTTTTCACTACGCATACACAATACAGAAGCGTGCGCGTGCATACGATCGGTGCGCCTGATCGAACTGACCTGGGGGTCTACTCTCGTCCTCCGTCTGACGTCCGTCCGAAAAAATAACTGTCAAATAAGTAATATTCGACCAAATTAAAAGACAACGTCAAGTATGAAGTTTCACTCGCATCACGCGTTTTTTAATTTAATTTTATTAATTTTTAGGAGAATGCGAGTAGACCCCCTGAACGGCGCGCCGATTGCATTTGACGGCGGTGGCGGCGCGGGGGGAAGCGCGGCGGCTGCGAGCCGACGCGGCGCTCATATCTATATCGTGGTAAGAAACCTGTAATTAGTGATAATCATTCATCGATTTCAAGTCGACATGCTGACCGAAGAGAATATAGAGTTACTGAATTTAGAAATAACAACGCGCGATGTTGCTGATTAATGTTAGATTTGTATTCCCCGGATGAAAACCTTTTCTCTGTATTTCCGTTCGAAATGCAGACAGAAAAAAACTAAAAGCTTTGCACCACTAGAGTAACGATATTGCAAAACTGCTATGTAAAATAGTTTTTTGCTTTTGCTGCAGTTACCAAAGTGGTAGAAAATTTAGTAGTTATAAAATCTGCTGCTATAATATCAAATAACGGCAAGAACAAAGTGTAACGGCAAGTCATTGACTTACAAATAAATGGACGACGGGTCTAATACAAAAACCACGAAAAAACGTCTCAAGTCAACCTATTTAAACATAGTGACATGTACAGGAATATGAAAACGCTAAAACGTTGAATTTAAATTGTAATGTCATCGCAATACTGTCTAATTTTGCTTGCTTCGCTGTCAGTCTAACAAACGGAGACTAAAGCGTGAATGACGCTCTGTATACGATTTTAACGCCCTATAAGTTCGGACACTTTTTAGCGCGGACCCGACGTTCATATAATTGTATGTCAATGCGGCACGTACAAGCTTTTTAATCAAAATATACACATAAGCACATAAGTCGTTTCTATTGGTGCCTTAATATAATCTAAATCTTATTGTGACCTCTATCTTAAACGTAAGATTTTTTATTAAAAAGAGTTTAATTTATTTGTTATCTAAAATAAGTTTTTTTTTAATTTCATTAATAAAGATTTACAACATATAAATAGTTTTTTTGAAATGTTATTTCTTAAAGTGTAATATGAAAAAACATTTTCAATTACGGGTCCCTGAGATCCACCAGGCACATCGCGTGATTTTAAACAACCAGGCATGACAAGGGTTAAATCGCAAAGACCTGAGGGACACTGCCACTGTGCCCGTCACCTTGAGACATAAATTGACAAGTCCCCATGTGCCTGTAGTTTCATCGCTCCGGAACATTTTTTACTAAAAATAGTGATAGACATAACATTAATACGAGGAATAAAAACAAAGTAGCTGTTCTTGGTAGTCGTCTTCACAAAGACACAAATCCATTTAGGGGCAAAATATATACGTATGAATACGCTTTTTTAGTAAGATTTAGATTGATATTCAAAATTTGTGCCAAATCTAAAACGGCATCTGCGTACTTGGATGACAAAAATCCGTGGTAGTGACCCGCATGTATCGGTCGATCTAAGATGTTGGAAATAAATTGTGTAAATGGTAAATGTGCACAATTGTAAATTTACAAAGGGTAACCCCATTCTTCTCAGGGAAATCTGCTGTAGGAATGAGCAGATACTATGAACTTTTCAAAAATCATGCAAGTTCCAGGCTATTCTTTTGCGCTCAAAAACAGACTGGATAAAATTCGTATTACGACGTATATATTTTTCGCAGACTTCTCGCTGGTTTGTCTATGACTGGGCCTTGACTAGCTCGTGCTTTTTAGTGTAACGTTCAAAAACATGGATGAATATTTACCGGTAAGTTACGGTGTTATATTTGCCACTTAGTTTAAGGGTTGTTAAAAGTGACGTTATTTAGTTTAACATGCTCGATGGTTTAACACGACAATGTGACATGATAATGTGATTTCTCGGTGTTTTCAAGGACTTAGTGACACTTTATCTATGTATATTTCCGCATTTAGTATGTAATAATTTTGTTGTTGTATCGAATTTTGCATAAATGATTTTTAAAATTACTACTGTGAGTTCGATAACTTAAAAAACTAAACTGATCGTTATATTTACTTCACTATAAATCTTTTGATATATAATTATTATTTTTTTGTTGTTTCTAATGTTGGAAGGTGCGAAGAGATAAGTCTGAAAAAGACGACACTAGAATTTAAGTTGCAAATTAATGTACCAAATTAATTAGACTTTGTGTTTAGTCGGTAGATGTATTACTATAAACCAATGATGTCGGTTTTTGACTTCTGTGCTATAATCCGCCGAGAGACCTTTCGTTTAATAATTGTGTTTTGATATCATTAATTGTTAGATTCAAAAGGTGTGTTGCTGGGAGTTTCTTTTGCCGTTTCTTCTCCCAAGCGTTAACAGCTTTACGAAACGGTAGTAGCTTTCGTTATTAATAAACAGATATAACTAAAACCACAGTATTTTACTTTAAACCACAAAACAGTTAGCAATATGAAAAAGTAACTAGGACCGTTGAAACCGTAATTTTTACCGTAAAAGGACATCACTAATAGTAACGGATCCATAAAGATTTGAGGCGTATCACTCTTCGGTACACTAGCGCCACCAGCGTGCTGTCACGGGGCACAGAACTACCTCTACGAACATTCCGCTATAGGGCCTGTTTCCTATCTGTTCCTAATATATCTTTCTAATTTGTGATCAGGCGCACCGATCGTACGCACGCGCACGCTTCCTTTATTGTGTCGCCGCGCGAAAACTTTCTTCTCGTGTAACTGGGCGCTTACGGCGTAAACTGCGTGGAAGTAAGAGTTCATATTAGGTCCCCAGCAGAGTTTAATTAATGTGAAATCAAATAAAGGTGGTTTGAGTTTAAATTTAGATTGGAATTTTGGCGGCAGAAATGGGTATGGTGGGTTGTGGCAATACTTCTCAGGACGAATTCTTTCACAAAGAGCTCTATCTGTTACTAAAAGAGCATTGCGTACCTCTAGGGTAGAGAGAAATATCAAAGCCTCTACTGTAGGCGTTAATAATTCAGATACAAGTGAGCGCCCCAAAAGCCATTCTTCCGAAAATAAAACTGTTGTTATTCCGCTTCTGCCCGTGTTGTTGTGTGTAAACAAAAACGAGAAATTGGTCGCTTCTATGAGCTGAGCTGGTATAAACCGGCTAACGAGTTGTAAAGTCGTTGTTATGAATACAATGTGTTAGTTAGGGTTGGCAATTTGGCGCACACCTCTGTAGTTTAAATTTTAATGGTAAGCATGTCATTTGATATTTTCTTCTTAACAAATAAGTTTTTTTAAACATTGTGGCTAGGATTGAGTTAATATTACAGTTATTAAAGCGACTCTAGTCAAGTAACATCAAGTCAGTCGTTGGTAGCTGTAAAGGTATCTGGCTAAGTGAAGACAAATTTTCATAGGTTTCTCACAGATGGCGTTACGGAAAAAAGTCGGTAAAAACAAAAACAAACATCTGTAAAACAAGCACATAGAAAAATTCGTTTGTTCCGTAGCTCAGTTGGGAGAGCGTCAGGCTGAAGGCGCTGGTTCGAAGGAATTTTTGTTAGTGTTCGATCTTTGTACTAATAATTATTTTGGCTAGAACCAATAGGGCTAATGTTCGCATTTTTTTATTTGATAGTCAT